AGGACAGGGCAGTGACTCTCCTGATGTTTAAGCTGTGCCTTAGCAGAAGTAATGTGCTATTGTGTCTTCCAAGATGTGTGCAGCCTTCATTTTGGATGGTTTTCTTTGTCTCACCTTTTGTAGTCTTTATTAAGCCTTTTAAATACATAGAGGGTTAATATATTCTGTTCTGCCAGAGATATTTAAAGTATATATTCAGCTGTGTTTGAAAGAGGAATTTTCGTCTCTTGGCTTTGTTTAGCAGGGACATTGCCTTAGGAGTTGAACCGAAGTCACAGGAAGGTGGGGTTCTTACCGCTTACTTTGACTACTGTTTGGCAACATTTTTATTTCTATTAATTTTTGCCTGAAAATTGATAATCTTAAACAATCTGTGATTTTTAAAAATGATACATTCTGAAAGAAAAGTATTTAAATGGGCAAAGCTGAGGTTCAAATATCCCAAACAAATGCAGCATGAGTTTTTCCTTCTCAGTGTACCTTCTCCATAGTGTCCTATTTATACCAAAAATACCTTTGTTTTTATGTATTCCTCAAACTTAAAAATTGATGTCCTTCCCATACCAGACTGTGGAGTCCACAGAAACTTGTGTATTGAGTCACCGGTCACACTCCTGGCTACCAGCCACCATGTGTCTGCTGTCACCAGAGCCTTGCTGATCTTTGAAAAGCATCGGGAATTATTTCTCTGCTCCTGAAAAGCCAAATGTTGCAATGTTAATGATTTGTTCAAATACCTGTCATGATCTAAAATATACTCTGGTTAACAGGGTTCAGTATATTCTTTGACAGAGGAAACTTCAGAGTACTTACCAACCATGCCTTCCTCCCCACCCCACATTCCTTCCCAGGTCCATCCAGGCAGATAGTAAATCATCCAATGCAAATTGCATCCAAATAACATTTTTTAAGGAAAAAAATGAATATTATGAAAGTTTGCCATGAATTGTAATAGAGTATCATCTGTAATAAGAAAGTTTGATAGTTGTTGCTTGTAATACAGTGTCTTTGTGACTTGAACCAGCCGGCAGCATTCTCAGGCATTTTAGACACCTTGTGCTGTGAAATGAACCTGGGAACAGTCGTTCTATTTCACATTCCGCTTCCTTGATACAAACCATGCCTGTTCCCATTGCAGACAGGTGCATACCCGTGGTGGAGAGTGCAGTTTCAGTGAGAGTGGTTTTGCTCTTTCCAGAAGTCCAGACTTCTCTCCTGTTTCCCTCCCTCTCTCTGCCTGCTGTGCTCTTCTATGTGGATGTGCAGAAAAACCTTTCTGCAAATCAACACTTAGGCTTGGACACTCGTTTTGGGAAGGATAAACTGATGCGGATCGATTCTCTCTCTGTGTCTGTCTATCTCTTGAAATGCTCCCCAAATTGTCCTAGTCTTAGATAATTTCTAAGAAGGTTTCCTCCACTGTCAAAGCCTTGGACACACATAAACATTGGCTAGAGCTCCTTTTGGGCAGAAGAGCCCTGTTGAGGTGTGTGTCATGGAAGGATGTAGGAAGTAGTTCTAAGTGATGCCAAATCCCTAGGGCTGGGTCTTAAAGACTTTCTGTGTGGAGGAGGAACTTTTTAAAAAATTTAAATATGAATGTATCTGTGTACTGCATAATGCACCAATATTTTGATATCCCAAAGGGACTTTTAACATACACCAAAGGGGCTTTTTTATAACAGGATTGAAGAAGTGTTATTTATGTTTTTGCAAAGTAGCCAAAATATGTGCTTTTATCTTTGGATGTATCACATCTTAACTTTTTTAAAAACTACATTAAGGAGACTCTTTACATATTTCTGTGGCAAGAAAATAAAAACAAATTTTATGGACACTTTAAAATGTTGTTCTTTTTCCTCCTTAAAATTCCATAGCTCTTTACTGATGGGAGAATGACATTTCTTACCAGTCAACAATAGACCTATCAGCATAAACTAAATATTATATTTTAAATTTAAAACGTTATCTGTTATAAGGGATACTTTCTAACTTCTCCTGAGGTCTCAACAGGAAAAGTGATCACCAGTTTAAAAACTGAAGTCATTCCATGAAAAATACAATGTGCTGCAAAGTAACTGGGCTGAACAAGGTCTGGAAAATATTTGTGAAGCAGAAAGAGAAATAGGTAGTGCATGATATTGCATGTGAGAGTTTCCATGGTAATATCCGTAGGTGGATTTGTGGCTAGTCACTTGGCATCTGTGATAATCCAAAAACCTGAAAGAGATTTGTCATTAGCGATTGATAAATATTTCGGGGTTGACCTGTTAAAGTGTCCTGGATTGGGAAAATATGTAAAGGGATATTAGGCCTCTCATCTAAGTGTAGTTGTTTTTCATTGTAGTATTCTATGATCATGGACCGTCACCATGTGCTAGGCTCTGTGCTAAGCTTTATGGAGAGAAAATAGAAGGCATAGTCCCTTCCTGTAAGAAGTGACTACTGAGAAAGAAAGGCAGCTAAATTAATAATAATAGGGGTACAAGAGGCAGACAGAGAGACATAGTTTGGTGATACCAAGGAGAGGCAACCAGTTTTTTTTAAAAAGGGGATGAGGGGTGCCAGGGAGGCTTTTCTCAGGAGAAGAGAGATGGTGCCCAATCCAGAACTTACTGTCTCCTGCCCATCTTGACATCACATCCATAACTCAACAATAAGTTGGAGCTGCCATGGCTTCATATTCTGTTTTCATATTTTGTACTGACTTTAATACATGTATCATTTCTCTTCTCCCTGCTAACTCATCTCAGAATACACACTAGGTTGGTGCATGGAAATATGTTTTAATAGGTTTACATCACATGGGGATTGAAGTTTTCTCCCAGAATTTAGAAATGCATCTTAGATGAATCACCAAACACTTTGATTGCTATTATACTCGAAGTAATTTAGTGATTACTTTTGGAATTGTTTGCATTGGCAGGAATTGTCATTTGCTCTTGGCTGCCTGTGGACTCCTGAAAGTCATTTATCTTCTATGTGCTCATTAAAGCTAAGCTTGTAAAATTTGAGGCTGGATTATAACACTTGAATTTCACCTTGAAGCCATCTGTTTTTCCAATACATGTAATTGGATTTAAATTTAAATCTTGCCAAATTTGTAGGCAAAGTCCACTTTAGGGGTGACCTAATTGCACTAGATCTTGCCATGAGTCAAATATCTACATGGAAACAGATCTTGCATTTCTACTTCTACAGATCCTGCAGTCAGGAAATCCTCCTACTTCTGTCATGTGTTACCCTAGTCTGGCTTCCACACTTACTTTTACAAACCCTGTAAAATGGACAGCCTTTACTTTTCCCGCCCTCCGTACCCCATCCCACTTCCTGAGTTGAACAGTATCCCCTTAGAGCAGCTCCCTGACCCAGCAGACCTCCAGGACAGGAAGCAGTTCTCTGTTGCTCTTTTGTCTCTGGTTTGTTTTTTCCCTTGTCTCCTTTGCTACCCCACTTTAAGTAGCTGTTCTCCAATGCTCTGGCCTTCATCAGCCTGCCTGTCCATGTCACCTGCTCTCCATCAGTGGGCTCATCCTTTGCCACACAGTGTCCACCAATCCCCTACACCCACAGCCACACCGACCTCCTGTGCCCCTTGAACAACAAAGAGAGCGGTACTGCTGCTCCTGCTGCTGCCTGGAATGTGCTTCCCCGGAAAGCCCTTGGCTTGTTTCCCCACTGCCTGCAGGATTTCGCTCTAATGGAGCCACCTCGGTAGGATATTCTGAGATAGTATTTACTGCACTTGTTTATTTCTTTAGTTTCCCCTTTCTGGAATGTGAACTCCATGAGGTGAGAGACTTTTCATCTTAACCTCCAGAGCCTTGAACAGTACTTGGTCCATAGAAAGTGTTCAGTCAGTACCTGTTGAATGAATGAGAGAATTAATGATCCCTGGCATGGGGTGCTGCAGTGCAGATGAAGAATGCTCCTGTGGCAATCACAAGCTCTGCCCCAGCCAGCTGAGTGGTGCTGCGGAGCCCCTCACCTTGAGTGGGCCTCTGTTTCTGGTTCTGCAGATGGGGAGTGTGTACCAGGGGCTCTGAGGCCCCTTGAAACTGTAACACTCTTTCACAGTCCTGGAAATAAGATATGATGTCATGTAAAATGTTATTTATGCGACTCATCACAACTTGATGTTATAGCATAATTGCTATCTATGGAAAAATGTCTCTTTTAAAAAAGAAACAATGGTTGAAGTGAACAAAACAGTTTCCAAATGAAGCTGTAAAAACTAATGCATATTGGTGTACTGCCATGTTTACTATCTTTTAAAAAAATATTTTGACCAATTTTTATTTATTTATTTATTTGAGACCGAGCCTGGCTCTGTCACCTAGCCTAGAGTACAGGGGCACAATCTCAGCCCACTGCAAACTCCATCTCCTGGGTTCAAGCAATTCTGCTGCCTCAGCCTCCTGAGTAGCTGGGATTACAGGCGTGAGCCACCACGTCTGGCTACCTTTAGTATTTTTGTTTCGTAAAGACAGGTTTTCACCATGTTGGTCAGGCTGGTCTCTAACTCCTGACCTTGTGATCCGCCCGCCTCAGCCTCCCAAAGTGCTGGGATTGGCGTGAGCCACTGTGTCTGGCCTATTTTTGTTATTTTTTAGACAGAGTGTCTCTCTGTCACCAGGCTAGAGTGCAGTGGCACGATCTCAGCTCACTGAAGTCTCCACCTCCCAAGTTCAAGTGATTCTCGTGCCTCAGCCTCTCGAGCAGCACCATGATGCTTAACTAATTTTTGTTTCTTGGGAGTCTTTTTTGTAGAGACAGGGTTTCACCATGTTGGGCAGACTGGTCTCCAACTCCTGGCCTCAAGTGATCTGCCCGCCTCAGCCTGTCAAAGTGCTGGGACTACAGGCGTGAACCACAGCGCCCGGCCTGTGTTGACTAATTTTTAAAAGAATTACCATTGGCTATAGCTAAATGTATTTAATAGCCTGCCTATTTCTATCAAATTAAAAAGCAATAGCAGTCTTTTCTTCCTTTGATTTTAGCAATTTCCTGCTGCAGAGAGCATTTTAAGAAAGGACAGTGTTCCTGTGACCTCAGCCTACCATCCATAAAATACTCATTCCCCTTTCAGGTAAGCATATTGCTTTGCTTTGATCCATTCTGAGCAGAAAGTATTGATTCTCTCTGAAAACCTGTGTCATTATTGCACTAAGACAAAGAAGCTGAGGTTTCAGATATTTTGCTGTTGGGCAAAAAAAAAGAAAGTCCCACCTTTGAGGTCCTTGCCAGGACCAAAGTATCAGTGATGGCCATTTGCCTTTCCAAGGGGTTTCATGATACACCTTCTACATATCTGCTAGTTGTTAGTTTGTTAAATGCTGTGTGCTATTTATTGGATAGTCTCCCAGGAATTTATAAGTCCTCTGTGTTTTTAAAAATTTTTTATTTTTATTTTTTAGAAATGGAGTTTTGCTCTGTTGCTCTGGCTGGAGGGCAGTGGTGTGATCCTTGCTCATTGCAGCCTCAAACTCCTGGGGTCAAGTGATCCTGCTTCCTCAGCCTCCTGAGTAAGGCTCTGAGTGTGCACCACCATGCCCGGCTAAGTTTTTAAATTTTTTCCCTAGAGATGGGGTCTTACTATGTTGCCCAGGCTGGTGTTAACTCCTGGCCTCAAGCAGTCCTCCCACCTCGCCCTTGCAAAGTGTTGAATTTACAGGCATGAGCCACCTGGCCTGGCCAGAAGTTCACTGTCTGTGCTTGGGGAATGAGATGGTGGTGCAGGGTTAGCAGCAAAGGCACTGGGAGTGGGTGACTAGGAGAGATCTTTACAAGCTGGCCCCTTAATAGAGGGAGGGTTGAAAGAGAGTAACTTAAATTCCAATCCAGGAACTGAGATTGAGGGGGTGGAGCATCTTTGGAGAATGGCCAGCCAGCAGGCCTGGGAATGGCAGGGTGCTTTTCTCCACGTCCGCACCACTCCTGGGACTCCTTTCTGGTCCCCACAGCTGATGGAGAGTCTGGAAACATTTTTTCCAGGTCTCTTCCTCCAGCCAGACTATCTTCCAGGAAGGAGCTGAGGAAGTGGAGAACGGTGGTCGAAGTACAGATGGTTCCCTCTTTTATGGAGGGACTGAGAGCTTAATACCACCAAATGAGGAGATTAGAAATGTTTAGGAAAATAAAGACAGTCTCCGGTTATCTCATGTCCACAGTGAGTTTAGGAGTGTAAAGAGCAACCCTTAGGAGAACAGAGCCTCAGCCTCTGTTTCTACATTCTGAGTGGCCCCATGCTTGGATTTGATTAACAGCCTTCCTCAAGCTTCCTCCAGCTTCCTTTCCAGTATCCATTTGTAATGTACCCTTGCTTATATAGTAAGCCATACATTTTGTAATTTATTATTATAGCATTATGCAGGATATTGTTAGGTGATGTGATCACTCTTCTAGAACCTTTGAATCAAACTTACGCCGACAAATAAGAATCAGCCTGTGCCAGGCAGAATTCTGCAATCTGTAGAAACAGGAAGCCAACAATACCCCTCAGTGCTGTACCCTAAAGTCTCTCACTCTTATCGCCATCTTACTTATCTTCTTATCTCAGATATAAGAAGCTCTAATATGAAAGCCTGGGCTCCTATTGGCTGGAAGGAACTTTGCATCTGCCATCACCAGCACTTGTGGAGCTCAGGTTGTAGAACTGCACCCAAGTGCAGTGGACTTAGGAGGGAATGCCTTCCAGTAGGCCCATGTTTTTCATTCTGCACCATTCTAAGGAACTCAGCCATCCTGGTTTGCCCATGACTGAGGGGTTTCCTGGGACATGGGACTTTCAGTGCTAGAACTGGGAAGTCAGAGCAAAGCAGGACATGTTGGTCCCTCTTGTGATCCCAACACCCCGCCTCTTCCATACATGGCTGCAAGATGTTCTGCTCACCGGGATGGTTGCTGACGGCAGTGCTAGTGGCCGGGGAGGAACTGCAGAGTAGGCCTGGCCGTCATCAGAGCTCGCCTGCTTAGTAATCCATTTGGAGGGACTGGAGTGGTTTGCTTTACTTCTGTGAGCCTCAGTTTCTCATATGCCAAGTAAGAAGAACAGCAAGGCAGTGGGGGTATAGGGGAGGTAACAAGACAGAGCAGTGTTGATGCCTGATGTAGCCTAGGCATGCAAGAAGGGGCAGACCCCTCTCCTCATCAACATAAACCATCCAGAGAAGACAGTCAGTTACCTTCACAGGCATAAAGTAATTGGCTTGAGCTTTACCAATACTATTATTTACCTAGGCAAGGAAGGTTAGAAAGAACTCAGCCAGGTGACTCACCAACACAGTGTCACCTGGGTTGCAGGCATAAATCCTAGCCCCAATACCTTATTCTTAAATAACCTTAAGTCAATATGTGTAAGTTACTTTGAGTTTTTATCAGCTTTCCCATAAATAGATTGAAACATTTTTTAAAGTGCTTTAAGAATGTTGTGAAAAGCATAATTTGTTTCTTATCCATATCCAAATATTTTTAACTTTCAGGTTATTATTGCATTTAAGGTTCATTAAAACATTTTTCTTTCTTAGATTCTTAAATTACAGATAAGCAGGCTTATGAATACATATGCATTATTATCGCCATTAAATTTTCACTACTCTCGATATATGAGTTTAAGATTACTAGATTATTTTGTTTTTAGAGAACACACTGGTCTTTTTAAACGTGGCTCCTTGTTTAAGGAAACTAAAAGGCAACTGAAGTTATGAAATAAAATGATATTGTAATGTTCTTTTGATCAAACTTTTTTGAGTTTTTTTAATCATAGAACATGATACATCCTGAATAATGTATATATGTAAGTCATTTCTAAAGAAATACACAAACACCAATTTCTGTGCATTACGCATGTAATTACAATTTCAGGAAATAAGCTCGAAGGCCTCCTTTGTTTTTAGTTCCTTGTTTTCTTATTCAATCTTATGTAATTGATAAAGTCAGTTTCTCCTTGAAAGTTTCATTTTTCAGAACTTCTGTCCAGATTTTTGCCTTTTTAACATGGTGCATGCTAGATGCTTGAGAAATTGCTCGGAGTAAAAACAACCCTCGCACATTTATTTTGTATGTTAAATGGGCCTGCCCAAAAGTACAGGCTGATTTTTTCCGACACCTTTTTTCCCAACTCGGTGTTTCCTAAAGCTGGTCCTCCAGAATGAGAGGTTTGTACCTTGTCCGTGACTCATATCATCCTCTCATGCCAGCACCCCTGACTTTTGCCTCTCCCCAGATCAGCAGTTTGCCAAGAGAATGACTCAGAGCTCAGATTCCAGTAGTACAGTCAGGTGTGGCTCCTCTGAGGCCATCTCAGCTGACCTTGAGCAAGGTCTCCTCAGGAACCAGGAGAGCCGGCACAGCAGTGAGACCCACTGTGCTGGGAGCCAGGCTTGCTTGCTGCTTTTTTAAAAAGAGGAAGAGGAAAGGGCATTCTCTGGGGAAAGTAGCAGGGATTTTAGATGTTTTATTTTCCTTATTCACAGAAATTTTATATGCTTCTGTAAGGATAGATATAGGGATTGTCTCCCTCATACTCAGAAAGAAAGTATAATTCTATTTTTGAGGATTTAACACGCATTTATTATGAAGTTCAAAAAATTATTGATTGCAATTTAAATTGTCAAATTACAGCAGGGTGTTGGTGGCTTACGCTTGTAATCCTAACACTTTAGGAGGCTGAGTTGGGAAGATCGCTTAAGACCAGGAAGTCAAGACCAGCCTGAACGACATAGTGAAACCCTATCCCTACAATTTTTTTTTTTTTAATTAGCCAGGTATTATCACTTCTTGGGCCTTTGGCTAAGAGCAAGTGTAAAAGATTAGCCAGCTATTGTGGCATGAGCCTGTAGTTCCAGCTGCACAGGAGGCTGAGGTGGGAGGATTGCCTGATACCAGGAGTTTGAGGCTGCCGTGAGCTGTGATCATGTCACTGCACTCCAGCCTAAGTGACAGAGCTAGGACCCTATCTTAAAAAAAAAAAAAAAAAAAGAAGTAATTTGAAGTATATAAATATTTTAAATCAAATGAAAGAGAAATTCTGTATTACTACCCACATAGTTGTTTATTAATGGCTGTTATAATAGAAGTTACGTAATTGTGAAGGTAGTCACTGGTTTTCTTGCAACGATCAACAGAAAGGAAGGATAGGCCGCAGTTATGCCCATGGACTGTGGAAGGACTGCCCTGTGGCTCTGTGCTGGAGGTGTTTATGCAGTCTGCACTTGCCCTTTAGAGAAGCATTAGAATCTTCAATATGTAGATATGATAGAATCTTCAATATATAGATATGGGATATGTGTAATATGAGAATCAGAGGCTAGGGCAGACCAAAGGGCAGCCATGTGGTTAGACACACGCTGGGTGTAAAGCCCAAGTCTACCCAAGGTTCTTCTATCAAACCCCTAAGCAGACCTTGCACACCAGTTCATTTCTTTACAATATCAGGGTCATACATGCAACAGGAAAGTTGGTTGAGGGAAGTTGGACAATGGGGAAAGTAGAATTGAAAGGTTACAAGGAAACATAAATGTCTGGTGAAATATTAGAACGATCTATAGAAACCGTGAAAATCTTCAGTCAATTAGAGTAGGGAAGAGGAGACTGTTAAGCGGACACAGGTGAAAGAGAGGAGATTTAAACAGCGATCGTAGTTGTGCCAGGAGAAAACTAGACTTTCCAGACCTTCTCGCTTTATTTTCAACCTGTAAATCATGTGCTATCATCTCTAGGTGTGGATGGAGGGGAGGATTCATGCATTTTGAGTACTCAGAAATTCAGAGAAATGTGATGCTTGCCAGGACCCTGTGTTTAGTGAGCACTGAAGTATGTGCTCCACCTAGGTCTCTCTCTTCCATAGCATAGGATAAAAGAATGCTAAATATTTAATTCTGGTTAAAAAATGCAACCAAAGTCCTGAATATATTTCTAATGTGCATTTCTTGGGGAAATCCCTCCTATTCACCAGGGGAACAATGCCGCCCTCTAATCGCGTGGTCTTTAGGCAGAGCTTCACAGAGCACTGGCCCCTCATCATCCTGAAATGTGTATGTTTTACCTTTACTTGAGTCCTGTGGGTCTAGTTCTCTAAGATACATTTAA